GTGAAATTCAAGCATAAATCATGTAAAATTCAAGTTAAAATCTTGACATTTTCAGGTAAAATTTGCGTAACAAAGTAATTATTTTTGTGCATACACTGAGTCAGTTTGCATGCTATTTGTTTGCGAATGTGCTTTAGAAAACGCCAGAAATACAGTCCTAGAGCTTCAAAAATGTAAAAATGTTCTGGGGGAGGACCACCGGACCCCCCTTTTCTCCCGAAACTTACTATGAGAATGCCAACCAATCACAAAAAGCGTGATTATAATTATTACACTTCAGGGAAATTTTTAACATTGAAATTTAAATTTGAGGTAAATCGACATCCCCCCTCCCCTCATGGTTGCATTTCGAAACCTATTTCAGTTTTAAGATATCCTTAGTCCGATCTTCTAAATGAATACATGAAATCACCTATATAGCTTATTTTTAATTTTTTGGTGCCAGGTTTGTGACGTTATTTACCCACCAAAAAGTAGCTGTTCCAAAAACAATAAAAGCATACGATTTATAGGAATGATATGTTTTATGTTCATGGGATATTTAGTACAAACAGGATGAAAATTAAAGAAATTTAAACATACTGTGGCGCTTTTGTATGCATTTTTGACAGGCACGCAAAGAAATTTGCAACATATACCAGGAGATACATTGGGTGTGGGCGAGGTTCTCTAATGTTCCAGCACATTACCGTGATCCAGGAAATCCCAGCCACTACATGAACGTGTTCAAGACATCGACTACGCTGAATGACGGGGAACAACCATCTGTTGATAATTTCGCCCCTAGAGCCAATCTAAAATCTTTTTTAAAGACGGTGCCATTTAAAGAAGCAGCAAGTCGGTATTCAAAAAAAGTAACATAAAGTTTTTGTTGAGGAGAAACACGTGCCTGAGTATGCCAGACATCTTGAGGAACTGTAAATTGTATCTTTGATAAGAGAGAATTCCGGATTGTACTCCTTCGATTCCGAATTCTGGGAGGGGCATTGAAAATTTTAAAAACTTGGAAGGGGGCGTCGAAAATTTACCAATAACCTCAATTAACCGGGGCCCTGTAAAAATATGAGCTGTTTTCAAGACATCTTCATCCCCCCGGCGTAATAAATGTACTTTCTCTTACAATTATGAAACAAGAAACGCTCAACTTCAATTAATTTGGATTAACTTAACGAATCCTTGCGAGAACTCGTCTTGGCAAGCCGAACACAAAATAGTCTAATGAGAAAAAATTAAAAAAACAAAATAACTCTATTTCTTTCTAACGCTGTGTAGTCGCACGCTCAACCCCGATTTTTATGAAAACGTTTGGAGATAAACTCAGTCATTTTCTGCATCACTCATTAATCAGCGCAGCGCGTTGCACCGCCCATTATATATAAGCGCCCTGAGTTAAAACTTGCAAATATCCACGTTGTCAGTGGCACAAGCGGACCAATTCACTCTATGGTAGAACTTAGTTTGAATACAATCCAATTTGAACATAACCCAAGCTGAACATTGTCGTCAATCCAGGTTTATAAAAAAATTGATTGCGATCAGCAACACCTTGGCAACATGAAGACTTTGACCAAGCGTGCGATATTGTTTTCCATTTCCTCTATTGGACAACACTGCCAGCCAATTGGCAATCACTAAAAAAAATACCAAAAGAATTAACCGAATGATTTAACCAAACCTGAATATTAAAAATCTTAGAAAAATTGATAGGAACGACATAATCTTAATCTTATTCTTTGGATTCAGTACAAATTTCAATCTTTTTAGTGGAATGGGTAAACACGGTGATGGTAGAAGCATGTAACGCAAGCAGAACAGAGAGGTTGGCAAACGCAGACTTGGTTTACCTTGAAAACTACATCAGAGAATTTTCATCTAAGTATGTATATACTCATCATGCATCGAGTAACGAGCCTTTAACCGAGAAACTTCGTAAATCGATGACAGAAAATGTTAAATCGACAGCTTACGGTAACCTGTTGAATCCACGGAATAAAGTAAACCTTAAAATAAATGACGGGAAATTTGTAGATGACGATCAACAAATTTTAAACTTCGCAAAAGATGATCTATCCAAGAATACGTCGACTAAAATTCCCGCAAGATTGTTGGAGCCACTTGGTTCTTACATCAAATCTATTGGTCAAATTTCATGTGGAAGAATTCGAGGAACATGCTGGCTTGTTACAGACATGCTGGTCATAACTAACTATCATGTTTATTTGTCGTTTAACACGGAAAGAATAAAACGTGAAAATCCCAGCTTGCAAATCACAGTTTCATTTGATTATTTGCACCCAGGACAAACAGAACATGATGTTGTCATTGTAGAAGTTGATGAAAGGCGGAATCCCCAGCTTGAAAGTTCCGAGCTGGATTATAAATTTTTACGTTTGAAAGAAAACGAGGGTCTTGAAGACCGCGTTCGACTTGGTTCAATTGTTAGAAGTCGTCCTTTACAAGACGGTCGCGTTGTTATCGTTGGTCATTCTGATGGAAGCGAAATGCAGCAAGAAACATGCGTTATTGTCAGCAATTACTCCTGGCGTGAGAGACTAAAGCAAAGGCAGGAGAAACTTGAGGAACGTCAGCCCACGCATGAGGTCAATTTACAAATTTCTGCTGGCGTACACATGACCAATGACGATAAACTACGTACGTCTGTCAATAAATATCAAAAACAACGATGTCTTCCATACGATACAACTCTATTTTCTGGTGCCAGTGGTTCTCCTGTTTTTGATCTGAACGGGAACATCGTTGCGATGCACACACAGGGATATACATTACACATTGACGGAAGAAAATGGTCCTTGATGGAGTTTGGTGTCCAGTTCAGTGCAATTTGCGAAGACATAAGAAGGCAGTATACGTATAATGTTGTTGAACAGTTATTCCCCAACTATAACAAAGAAGAAGATATGGATGTAGAAATTACTACCCAACATAATTAGCATAAACAGTACAAAGGTTTCGAGTGGAAAAAAACGAACAATGATTATGGCTATGATGAAAGTTAATCCGGGCTGAAATCTTGATCTCTTTCTAATCAGCCCCTAAGACAATGAAGACACGTATAGCACTATACAGGGTGTATAAAAAAAACTGAATAGATTTGAAATTGCTATCAATTTCGCAAAACAGCTATTAATATCCAGTTTTTTATATATATAGTTTCTTTGGTGCTTATAATGTAGAGTAATGTAAAAAATTTCTCAAACTCAAATTTTGTAAACCAGGAGTGTGTGTTTTTTCCAACAAACTAAAAATGGCTTGCGCACGAAATTTAAAAGCTTTAACCGTATATTGAGTTAACGGATGGACAATTTGTTGGGTTTTTAATAACTGTACAAAATTTCAGACAATTTACTTTAGTTTAAGCCCTTTAACTATTCATTTTTCCCTAAAAAATCAGCCTTTCGCATGCTTAATTAATGCGCTTGCCTAATTTGCATATTGCTGACATAAGGGGAGGGTCTACCCAAACTTGAGAATCGCCACTAGCTATCTTTCAAGGGTCTGTTGTGACAACACTTTTCAAAACCCTTATGGCAAACTATATATCAGGAGAAAGCTAATGGAATGAAGATTCTAAAAAATATATTTAAGGTGGCTACAATGGGTTGCCATTGCCAACCAGGTGGTTAAAGTGGCTACATGCTGTTTTTAGACATACTGAAGTTGAAAAAAAATATCTTGCCAGGGGCATATTCAAATCAACCCATTTTTTAATAATAGACATAGCACTGAGTAATTGTGGGAATGAGTTGAGGATTTTTGAAAATTTTAAATATGTCACTAGAAACAAAGGGTTAAAGTTAGCGCATAAATATACTAGGTATTTTTATGCAATAACTCTGGTTAAAAACTAAATATGAAAAAATTCTCAACTCATCCCCAACAACATAGTAAGATGCATAAATCCTGAAAATTTCAGATCAATTGGTCAAATTGTTCTAGAGATATCCTTTTTCAACCTGCGAAATAGGTGATTTTGAGAAAACGGCATTTAAAGTTTGGGTTATTTGTGATGTCTATGAATTAATGTCTAATGTACTCAAATCCATGACCAAAGTCTTTCTGGATGTACTTAAAAGGCACCAGCTTGATGTGGTAACATCTGTCTTTCTTAAGGCTTCTTCCCTTCTTACACAAATCATTTTCTCCCCTTGACGTCACTTGTCCTCATTTTCAGTTGCTCGCACATCAGCATGCTCACACGTTTTCTATCCTTTGAAGCCGAACGGTTGCTTGTATATTCCCCACCTGAAATTAACAGCTTTTTCATTATACGCAGTGTACTGGCACCTCCACAAAATGCCGGATAGTGTAACCAATCCTTCATAGCCACAACCAATTTCGATTGAACTGTAAACCATCCGTCGATTTACATCATAAGATCATCCCCTTCGCGATACACTATCAGATGTATCTAAGACCTCGACATTTTTACGCGAAACACATTCTATGTTCGGCTTGACATAAACCCCTGCTTCCTTCCTTCTTCAAGTAACAGGTTTCCTTTGTAAAAGTTTTGAAAAGTTTCTAGTGAGATATAATAGCATAATATTTGGGCAGTACACACACATGACATGATGACAATATGTACATAGTGGTATTCTATATTGGTCCACTGGGCAAGCAGAAATTTGTAGTAAAACTGCATTCTACAACTAAGAGATTGTTTCAAATTTTACCAAAAGTATTTTACAAGTTAGAAACAAAATCATGAAGCCTACCTTTTCGACATTTATGAATATCAAAGACAGCAGATGACAGCTGTTGAATGTCAACAAGTCTGTATGATGTATAACTGCATGCAGAGGTTTGGTCGTCAAATCTTTCTTCTATAGCATCTTTTGGGGTACCAAGGCAGCTATGCTGACTCAATTTCCATCTTAATGCATTAATGGGTGTTGGAGTTTCTTCTAATTGAGGTGTAGTTGCATCTTTAGCGGCAAGCGTGTCACCCAAGTCAGGCCTCTGTGAATCAGAATCACTATCAACATCTTGATCACCCAAGCACGATTGATTGTCCTCAGACGCTTGCTTTTACAGACCAACACAGCCCACTCTTTTACGATAAACAGATAAACACTTCTCTTTCTTTTACTAACCATTTGACTAACTAGAACGCTTTTATAACATCACCAGAAAATATTTCAACTTGCTGTTGGGTGAGCTCGCTTTTCAAGAGACCACAATGCGCTAGACAATACATTGTTTTGAAGTAACAGCCGCTGAACAAAGAGCTTGCTGACCCTTCTTGACTGTTCTCTTCAATTTGTAGCAAACATGACAACCTCGTCCCCAGTGTCTTCCTCGTAGTGGCGCGCGAGCTGAGGAAGACCCTGGTAAAATACGATGAAATCTCCAAGATTCTTGGAGATTTATCGCATGCGCAGTAACGACAACGTTATGTTGCTGACTACAATTAGCGCTGGCGCTTACGATTTTCTTGCTTAAAAATATACATGTTTTGTTGATTGTTTATGTATTTATTCTCAAAGTTTTAACAAATTTTACGAAAAATACTTCAGATATAAGCTGTGAACACACATGTACACAAAACTGTGCAACATTCATCATCATATTGTATCAATTTGTCGGAGTATGGCGCTCATATTTGTGACATTGTTTTGTTCGCTTTGGCAACCTTCGTATATATCAGATGCTGTTCGGCTTCAAATGCGACTGAATAAACACTGATAGTGTTGCCTGGAATATGAAATGATATTGACTGATTGTTCTGTATATCAAGGTATGTACTGTACATTTATGCTGAATTTATTTTCACACGAGTTTCAAACTATTTCAGCCTTATGAACAATGAGATCACATCACTAACATACAGTCATACAGAAAGACTCCATATTTTCTCATCAAATCTGATTATCGTTACAAGTAACAGTAGAAATGCTTCAAAATTTATTCTGTATGCAAAGCAGGGCAGCATGTTTCATTTTGTTTTGGTGGTAGTCACCACTCACCAAGTCAAATAGACCATTCCATTTAATAGCCCCCCTATTGAGGTCTGGATATCCTATATGGGGATTTTAGAGAGGGGGTTTTTACCTTAAATTTTTCTGGAGGGTAGCTTAAGAGATTTCCTAAAAATTAGGTGTTTTAGTGATATCCAAAGGGGCAGGAACAATATCCTAAAAGGGTAGAAAGATATCCATAGGGGTTCCAAAATTGCATCCAATGGGGTTCCAAAATTATTAAAGCTATTATGAAGAGACCCCTCAATAGGGTGTGGCAGGGGGGCTATATTAGATGGAATGGCCCAGTGTGCTGCAACAACTTTTAAAATTTGTATATATGTTTTTAAGGCACAATATGTGATGGAGTTTGATATGATGATCAGCACAACCTGAAGGTCTTGACTGAATGAACAACTTATCTGATATACTCCTAGTTCCAATACTTTGCTGTATATTATCACCAGCTCAGATGCCAGTTGGATCACTTTGAATGAACATTGGAGTGGCACAATAAAGTGTCTGTATTAGGGAGGAGTCCATAAAGACTGAAGTAAAAGGCACACTTTTGGATATTAATTTGAATCATAGCAACTACATATACTGTAGGTTTCAAATAAGTTTGGACAATGAACAACTGAAAATAGAAATTTATTTAATTTGAAACACTTAAAGGAATTACAACATATTATATGATAGTCATATGTACATGATTATAGGTACATTCATTAGTTTTACTAGCTGATATTTATGACCATCCTGGGACAACATTTTATTTTTCCCAAGAGATTTTACTTGCATGATAGTACTAAGTTTAATAGTAACAGAGAAGTGTGATGGATATATGCAAGTAATTATCATTAGAAATACAAATATTAAACTGCAATTTTGACCATTGTAGATGTATTATTAAAGAAACAAAATACAAAAGTCAAACAAGGCTATTTAACATAATACAGTCATAATACTAGACTGGT